CCCTATTGTTGCAGAAAATCTCTAAAATCCCTTATAGGAGATTACTTTATCTATGATTTGTCTGCTGTTGTGATGCATCATGGGAAAGGATTTGGTTCAGGACACTACACTGCCTATTGCTATAATTCAGATGGAGGTAATTCAGATGGAAGGGCACAGATTATTGAATTTATATGAGAAATGCAATTAATAAGGTTATCTTTTAATGGCAATACTTTTTGGAGATTTTATATTATAAGCAATGTTTACATTCTTGAGATTCATAATCTGGAAATCTGAAAATTATAGCCTATCACATTGAAAGAAAGTCTCTCAGTTGAACTACCTTGCATGAAATCCTATTTTCTCCTGAATATTAGAAACTGTTTCATATAATTATTTCAGATACAGCTGTTTCTGTATTGAACAACTTTGAAAGGTGTGTGTGTGCTTACATTACACTAGGAATGTTGCCTTTGTTTGCCTCTAATTATAAATCACTACACAGAGTGAATGAAAGGTTTAATTTGGCTGTAGCCTTCATATGGAAGTGGTTGTTACTATGGCGGCGTAGTGCTGCATTGGTTAAATATTTGGTCTGGTTCAGCACAATGTTGGTTATATACTTAATAAACTGTAGATTCTTAAATTACAAAAATATCAATCCTGTGCTTTTAGAGGAAAACATCTATATTGCAATTTTTATTACTCTTATTTTTGTTGTTCTAGGGTTCTGGGTACACTGCAATGATTCCAAGCTCACCATGTGCACTATGGAAGAAGTATGCAAGGCCCAGGCATATATTTTATTTTATACCCAACGAGTTACTTTAATGAATGGACATTGGGGAATGTCAGGTCTCGACTCACCATCTGGGAAACAGGCAAATACTGAAGTTAATGGCTCCAATGAGAAAAGTGACAGCTAATTCAGAGCCAAATTGCTATGTACATGATAAGTCTGAATTGCGCAAAAATGTACTAAATCTGCCTTCTGGAGCCAAACCCTATTACGCATTCAGAACTTTTGTACCTTTTAAACTCATTCATGACAGTAACTTCCCAAGTTATTAGCATATATATCTCAATTGTTAAGATAAAATTTTCCATTTGAATCTTTAAATTTTACCTCAAGCTGTTTTTCAGCATTTTAATATTTTGAAGTAGGAAATGTAGATGAGGAACATGGGTGGACAAACTCTGGACTATTTTTAAATTAAAAGCTGTGTTTTATACTACTTCTAGCAGTACTGTGGATATTGTCTGCAGGAATCTGTCTTGCTTCCATGATTAAAATATGTGATGGTAATAAATGCATTCAAGTTTTCTTCTGGTGATGTTAAAATATTCTCTCTGTTCTGTAACCGAAGAGTTCAAGTAGTACAATACTTTTCACATATTATTAAAGCACTAAATCACTAGAAAGATCAGCAACATTAAAATATTATAATTTCCATAGCCTATTTATTATTTCACTCCAAGTATACTGCTGAATTAAATGGAAACCTGTGAGGAAGGCTGTGTAAATGGCAATTCCAATTGCAAAAACAGCTCATAAGCTTTTTGCCACAGGTTCTATATCTAATCTGCTGTACAGGTAGTCCTTGACTTACAACTGGTCAATTAGTGACTGAAATTATGATGGACCCCTCCCCCCACCAGTCAGTATGATTGCATTTGGGAAACCCAACAACTAGTATGCGTTCATGGCTTGTTTGCAGTGTGTCAGTCATATGACTTCAATTTATGTTTGTTGCCAGAAACAGGCATTTTCTTCTGGTTCTGTAAAAATACCCATTGTGGTCAATGGATTTGTTTAACAACCATGGTAATTTTCTTACATCAACAGCCAAAATAATATAAAATTGGGTTTATCACATGATGACCTGCATGACGTATTCCATCCAGGGTCAGTTATGATCATAAGTTTAATAACTGTACTCTGATCTGTGACTTGCCATACTAAAATCCATGGTAGATGATAAAAACTCTGGTTTTGATTTTTGCTATTAACATCTGGAAATGTTTTACAGCAAAGATGTGTCGGCCAGGTTACCACTATAGCATAACTTTCCTAAATGCTGTTTATAGTTTCTACTGGAAAAGAAAATTCGAATTATTGCTCTATACATATTAATGATTTTTTTTCTCTAGCGTGCTCCTCCTATCTAAATTTAAAGGCCTTTGTGTTCAATTTTTCTTTTGAGTGCTTCAGTTTCAGTTGCTCCTTTATGTTCATTTATCCAATACAAAATTGCAGCATAGGTTAGGTTTGGCAATTAGTAGGGTCATTCTGATGAAACTGGAGGGACATTCAGGTTATGACTAGATTGCAATACTGTTCAGTGTTCATACTACTGCAACATTGAGGCTCAAATTAAAATTCTCCAGAACATAAAAAACAACCAAAAAAACAGCCTTTAACTTTTTGCCCTACTGATCTAAATATGAACAGTTATCTAAACTACAGTTCTCTCAAATTGGTGGTATTCAAAAAAATTTCACCATGGTTTGAAGAAACCATTCTCATCTGCTGTGAAGTATCCTGTACAAAGATGGCAAGAAAGGCTTTGTTAGTACCATGCATTCGCATATAGGAATATTCATGTGGAAAAAAGCACATGTGCCTACTCACCGTTTCTTCTGAAAACAGGTTTGCAAAAATGACTTTAGATATAGCTGAATTTACATAGAAATCTATTTTAATTCTTCATAGGAAACTTTTAAGAATCAAGTTTGCACTCTTGAATAATTGATTTCCTGCCACAGAATAGATCCACAGAAAGCCAAACCCAGGAACTGTAATACAGAGAGGGCCTTTGTCCAAGTTACAATAATAATTACATTGAATCTCATTAAGAGATTAAAATATTTGTTTCAGATATCTTATGAGGGTTAATTTTTTTCATTTACAACAAAAGTTGCCTTCCTCTACATGTTTCATGTTAATGGCTATTATTTGCAAGGCAAGCCTACTCAGCAGATACACTTTTCTTTTCCATGTATTTTCTGCATCACACGAGGTAGCAAAAGATATAATAGTTCAGTCTTATCTTGAGAACACAATGGTTCAAGTGAAAGACACATGGTAGAGCAAGCACACTAAAGAGCAAGTTATTTTCAGGCAGATAACATTACAAATTTAGAAGGTATAAGCTCTGTTTTTACCACTTTAAAAGATGCACAAGATTATTTGTAAATAAAATAATGTGAAAGAGGAACAGAACAGAAAAAGATATGAAAAAAGGATTCAGTAAGAAATTAAAAGGACTGAGGAATATAATAGGAATAATACAATGAACTTAAAAGACAATTACAATGCATCAGATTTTACTTCCATGCTGAATTATATTCTATGACACAGATTCAATCTTTTTAAAAAAGTCCCAGTATCTCTTTGTACAATCAGTTCAGGTAGTTCTTTTTAGCCTGTGCTTTTAACATTTAGGTTGTCATAAATTCCCAAATGTAAAACCTTTTATTTCTTTTTATATGCTTGCCAAGAAAGAGTTTCACCTATCCTCTTGTCTTTTAATCTTAAGTAATACCATTAGCGACAATAGATATTTTAATCTCCTGCTTAGTTTCTCTGTTGCAAAAATATGCTGTGGTGTGAAGGAAAGGCTTCAGCTTTATTACATAAAAACCTAAAGTCAAAAATTGCATGCTTGTTGCTTATACTTTGTTTTTCAAAAAGTCTTAAACATAGTGCTGATTGTTCAACTGTTTCCAGTTCTATTGTCTTTGTAAAACTCCTTCATTTGGACACAGAAGGCCAAAACTGAACTTTGAGAATGCAAATCTTGTAACAGACGCTTCATTCTAAACTCTAACATTTCTCTTATACTGGCATCCTCTTGTCTTATTTTTCTTTCTCCCCTTGTTTCACCTTTCCCTTAGGAATTATACTTGATTTCTCATCAGTTCTCTGCAAGTGAAACTATTTACACTACAATAAGCCATATACCAGCAGCCTGCTGATTACAACTTGCTTGCAGCCTTTTACATGTATACTTTTTCTGACACAAATAAGAAGAATTCAATATTTAAAATATTCTTTTAGTGTCTACAAAAACATGGAAAGTTATTAAAAGTGAAATATCCCTTCTGGCTTCTTAAGAATTCAGCATCATGTATTTTTAATTGCAATAGCCAAGATTATAGGTTGGCAAAGCTATAATATATTTAGCAAGCTTCAAACTGCCCAAGTTAAACAGTACTGCAAGTAAGAAACCTCTGAGTTTATACAATATCTTAATGAGCTCTGCAACTACTACACAGTAGCTCCACCAAAACATTTAACAATTTTAATCTTTATATCTATTAAATGTTCCATTAATCATATATGCAAATTATAAGTTGATTTAATATTCCTGGTTTGAATAGAACAAAAAACACTATGCTTCAAACTTTTTGTATGTTAAAAACAGAATGATTCTGTGAGTTTGATTGGCTTCAACTATACTGCATAGGAGATAAAACTCCTTGTATCAAGCTTTTATAAGTAAAAAATTCTAATAAATTAAAAATATAGAAGCTCACATGTAGTTAGTAGAAATAGCCTGTTATAAGACAGGCTTATATGAACACTAGTGTTTATCATACAGGAATGGCAGAGAATAAACGTACTAACTTATTTCAGTGGTAGGCTCCAGAATTCACCAAGTGAGTAGATCCCACACTTGGAATTTGAGAGGGAGCTCACACTGTACTTTTTAATGAGCAATATGTTGCCAAAAAAAGTGAAATGGCCTTTGAGTTTGATTACAGGTGGCTTCATGGATACACCATTGCAATTCTCTATACTGCACACCACTGCAATTTTCTAAAAATACTATAGAAGCATTTACATTGGATTTTTAAAAATTCAAAGTCTACAGTACGGCCTTGGATTTACCATATGTTGCCTTCACTGCTGCTTAATTTTGCAACCAAGTCAAGCAGCTGCAAAATTCCCTCAAATTCTACATCAGCCCATCATGATTCACGGTTTACTTCTCTGAAAGCCCTTGTAAGGTTAAAAAAGTGCAGCATTTCAATGCAAGAAAAATGGTCAGTCCTAGCCCATTCTATTATAAAGCATATCAGAAAAAAAAACCAGTAATTTGATTCAAAGCAAAATAATGAAGCAAAATAAACATGTACACAATGCAACTGAAAACTGCTTTGTATTTGCTTGCTGTGCTTACACTGGAAACTTTTTCTAATAGAGGTGGGTTAATGGGAGAGACTTTCCAGTGTGTTACTGCCTTGGATTGTGACACTTTTAAAAACTATTTGAATTTATGATTTATTGATTTATTAATTTTACAAAATGCATTCCAGGCAGTTTAAAAGGCAACAGCAAAGACAGTTTAGGTGCAGAAATTATTTGTGATCATTCAAAGCATTCAAGTAAGAATATGGTAATATAAATACCTGAAAAACATATTTTCAGAAATATTTCAAACAATATGTATAACTCATTCTAAACTAAAAATAACACTTTGTAGCATATTTCTCACAAAAGAAAAATATAAAAGTAATCTGAAATATTCTAGAAGCCCCAGTAGCTGTTTTTTTTTTCCTTAGTTACATTAGAGAACTTGCCTTTGATTAAATTCTTTTCTTCTGAACATGGAAAGTTATCACATTGAGTTGACTGTTAAAACAGACTGCAAATTTATTCTGGCATAACATGTTCCAACAGAGTACATAAGTGAGGTAATGGCTTTGAAATTTCAATAGTCATCTCCTCTGCTGACAACTTCTTTGCACATTGGACGCAATAATATGGTGTGCTCAAACTGTGCTGTGTATGAGCCTTTAATATCACATAGAGGAGGATATGGGTCCACTATACCCAAGTCACATAGGTTCTTCAGTGCCATTAGGTATTTACTTTCTCCCAGACGATCTAACCATCTACGGCAAAAGGCAAGAGTACCAAAATTTTCATTGACAACATTCAGCAAGTGTTTTGCTCTTGGAAGCCTAAAAGAAATAATAAAAAATGCGTAAGTTTAAAGCAGATATTAATGAAAATTGAAATAATTATACAGAATCAGGTCAGATATTCAGCATTTGATTCCCTATCAGTTACTCTGGGCAACCTATCAGTATGTGGTTTTCAATATCAGGCATAGAAAGCAATTTAGGGGGGGGATGAAAGAAATGATAGCAAGAGTAGAATGAATGAAAAATAATGAAACAAATGTCCCTATAGAATAGAAATAGATGTAATGAAAAAGGACATGAAAGATTCTAGGAATGATTAAAACAATTGTTTTACAGAATCATATGGAACTACACAAATGGGAAGCATGAACAAGGAATCTTGGGGGAATGATAGTTTGCAGATAAGTAAAATTACATAAGGACTCCTGCAAAAAATTAAGATGAGAGATTATGTAGATGTGGATTGCTTTGAGTATGACTGGGCAAATTCTTTGTGTGTGAAAACTTGCTTGGCAATTGGAAATAATGCCAATTATACAAAGCGAAAAGTAGTAAGAGTGAATGCAAAAACTACAGCAAGATTAGCAGGTTAAAACTGCCTAAGAGCGTTTTTACAAGATTGTGGTCAAAGAATATGGTAATGAGCAAATTTAGGAAGTACAGTGCAGCTTTATTTGGTATATTGGCTTTATTTCCATTCAGAAAAACATCTATTAATCATGGTGAATTTTAGTGATGCGACACATTTCTTTAGTGATGGGATACATTTCTTAGGATTTGGGATGAAGCCTTTTCAATAACCATCCCATCCTTAATATGCAACTACTGAAATCCATATTGGCCATAACATGAAAGTCCTTACTACCATATTTTTCAGAGTATAAGACACATCTTTTTCCCTCAAAAAAGAGGCTGAAAATCTGGGTGCATCTTATACACTTGAGTACAGCATTTTTTGCCTCCCGAACCCCCGCCACCTTCACCAAAATGGCCGTGCATAGCCTTTAGAAGGCTTTCAGAGTCCTCCTGGGGGCTGGGGAGGGCAGAAATGAGCAAAAAATGGACAGTTTTTTGCTTAATTTTGACCCCCGGTCCCCAGGAGCACTCTACAAGCCTCCTAAAGGCTATGCACGGCCATTTTGGTGAAGGGGGCAGAGTGCAAAACCCTTTTTTAAAAAAATTGTCTCTTCAAAATCTTGGTGCTTCTTATACTCCGGTGCATCTTATATTCTGAAAAATATGGTACTTCATATGTCATTGCCCTTATTCTATTATTACTGTGATGACAGGTCATTATGATTCCTTTATGAGCTGAATATTAACTACTCAGAGTCTATCAGGTTAAGCATAATAAAAATGCTAGCAAATAAACAACTGAAGCTATTCGTGATATTAAAATAACACCAAGGCACAAAATTAGGACACTAATTTAATTGAAGTGCAAATATTACATTGGTATACCGATTTCTAATTTATCCAAATCTAATTTTTCCTCTTGCTTTATCCATCAATAGATCCAAGCCACAAAATGGTAAAGTGCCAGAGGAACTCACCATTTTCAGATCTAGCAAGACCCAAACCATGCCAAAGAAGCTAGGTGTAACTTTGAAATATGACCTCTAAATTCATCTTCAAAGATTGCTTATACCATTTTTTTTTTTTGCTTATCCCATGAACTTTTCATTTGGCAGAGATATCTGCTTTTAATATGCCAATGCCAGTAAAGCACTTTTTGATGATAATCTTCCTACTTTTTATTATTCATTTGAAAGTGCATTGTTATATTGTTTTATTAGTAAAGATGTTCCCATCTGCTCAGAGAAATAGACACAACTTATATTTTTCGATGTTTAACAAGAGAACCAAAACTATGTTTCATATAAGCACTAGGTTCTTACCACACTTTTAAAGCTTTAAATCTTACTTACCCGTAATGTAAGCATACTTAAAGTTACATTTTCATATAATGCAGTAAAATCAGCACTAACCTTATTGGCACATGTCCAACATCAAAGTTCTTCATATAATGAGAACATTCCATATCATCATGAACAACCCCCTTTCCTGTGCTACCAAAGGTTTCTATAGCATATACTTCTCCTTCCTATTAAAAACAAACATATATGAATTTAATATATGTATACAATACCTTAAAAATTATGAATCTCAACTGGGCTACCCCCTCCAAAATTAATCTGGCCATAATCCTGTTTACACATAATATATGCCTTTTTTAATCAAGAAGAAACGTAATCATTTTATTCCTCATGTCAGGAAGACTATCCATCAGCAAAATAGCAAGTATCAATGCACAGTACTAATACAGCTTTGTATGTTTATTAGATTTTTAATAGCAATAGCAATAGCAGTTAGACTTATATACCGCTTCATAGGGCTTTCAGCCCTCTCTAAGCGGTTTACAGAGTCAGCATATTGCCCCCAAGAATGAAATGAATGAAATCCAATTCTCATTTAAGGGAAGGTCATTTAGCTTTCAATATATGGCATATACAAAAAATATTGTTGGGGGCAATATGCTGACTCTCTGTAAACCGCTTAGAGAGGGCTGAAAGCCCTATGAAGCGGTATATAAGTCTAACTGCTATTGCTA